CAAATTGTGAAATATGATATATCAAGAACTATGTAATGTTTTGAACAGCCAACAAAAAAATAAAAAAATAAAAAAAAAAGAACAATAAATCAATGTAGAAAGACTAATTCAAATTAAAAACCATAAATAAATAAAAATGCAGGGAATAAAAAATCCTATCTCAATAGCATTGAATGTAAATGGCCTAAACTCATCAATCAAAAGACAGACTGGCAGATTGGATTTTTTTTAAAAAAGGTGCAAAAGTATACTGTCACCAAGAGACTAACCTCATAGGCAACGACATCCACAGAATAAAGGTAAAAGGATGGGAAAAAACATCATTCACTTGGATCTCATAAATAAGCTGGGGTTTCTACCCTCATATCAGATAAAGTGGACTTCAAGCTAAAGTTAATTAGAAGGAACAAAGAAGAACATTTCATACTGCTTAAGAGAATTGTACAGGTGGGAGGGAAAGGGAGAGAGAAGGGAAATTGCATGTAAATGGAAGGAGACCCTCATCGTTATACAAAATTACATATAAGAGGAGGTGAAGGGAAAGGGGGGGAAAAACAAGGGAGAGAAATGAAGTACAGTAGATGGGGTAGAGAGAGAAGATGGGAGGGGAGGGGAGGGGAGGGGGGATATAGAGGATAGGAAAGACAGCAGAATACAACAGACAATAGTGTGGCAGTATGTAAGAATGTGGATGTGTAACCGATGTGATTCTGCAATCTGTATACGGGGGAAAAATGGGAGTTCATAACCCACTTGAATCAAACGTATGAAATATGATATGTCAAGAGCTATGTAATGTTTTGAACAACTAATAAAAAAAGAGAATTGTAAAAAAAAAAAAAAAAAAAAAATTGATCTGTTTAAGTTGTGTATATCATCCTGAATCAATTTGGGCAAATTATATGACTCTAGAAATTTGTCGATGTCTTTGGTATTTTCTATTTTATTGGAGTACAGGTTTTCAAAATAATTTCTAATTATCTTCTGTATTTATGTAGTGTCTGTTGTGATATTTCCTTTTTCATTACATATGTTAATGATTTGAGTTTTCTCTCTCCTCTTCATTAGCATGGCTAAAGGTCTGTCAGTTTTATTTATTTTTTCAAAGAACCAACTTTTTATTCTGTCAGTTTTTTCGATTGTTTCTGTTGTTTCAATTTCATCAATTACAGCTCTGATTCTAATTATTTCCTGTATTCTGCTGCTTTTGCTGTTGATTTGTTCTTCTTTTTCTAGGGCTTTGAGATGTAGTGTTAAGTCATTTATTTGTTGACTTTTTCTTCTTTGAAGGAATGAACTCCATGCAATGAACTTTCCTCTTAGAACTGTTTTCATAGTGTCCCAGAGATTTCCATGTTTTATCTGTGTTCTCATTCACTTCTAAAAACTTTTTGATCTCCTCCTTGATGTCTTCTGCAATCCATTGTTCATTCAGTAGCATATTATTTAGTCTCCAAGTATTGGAGTAGCTTTTTTTTCTTATTTTATGATTGATTTATAATTTCATTCCATTATGATCTGACAGAATGCAGGGTAGTATCTCTACTTTTTTATATGTGCTAAGAGTTGTAGGTAGGCCAGGCAGAGTGTGTCAGCCTTGGAGTCCCTATGGGCAGCCCCTGGTAGCGAGATACCTGAAGCTTTGAGAAAGAAACCAAAGCTACAGTGTATACCCCTGGATTAAGAGATGCTCATAGTGTGGACTGTCTGCTGAGGAAAGCTGCTGGTTGCCATAGAACCAGGCTGAGAGAGGCCATGAGCACTACAACTAGCAAGGCCAGAGAGATGGGAATTCCCAAGCCCTTTGGAGAGAACGTCTTGTCATACGTGCCCCATGATGCGGGATATGGCATTACAAGACTTAATATTTGCCTGGATGAGTTTTAGTCCCTTCACTTCTTTTGGAATATGTATGCCATTATATATTGGATATACATATCCTACTTTTCACAGCTAAAAGTTTGCCTTGAGACTCAGAAGAGACTTGACTTGGACCTTTGGGCAATGATGGAACTATTAAGATTATGGGGACTCTTGGAAATGGAATAAGTGTAGTTTGCATTGCAAGCTGAACATAAGCTTTTGGGGGTCAGGGTGGATATGTGGTGTCCCACAAAAGTTCCTGTGTTAATGCAGAAATGTTTGAACATGAAATGATTTGATTATGAGAGCCATAACCTAATTAGTCCATAGTTTTAAATGGACTAACTGGGTAGTATCTTTAAGTAGATGGTTGTGGCTAGAGGAAGTTTGCATTTGGGGGATATGCCCTGTATGGGTTCATATTCCCTGCAGCCCCTTTCCCTTGCTCTCTTTGTTTCCCAGCTTCCATGGTCTTTGTAACTTTCCTGATTTGCCCTTCAGTCATGATAATCTGCCTCTTCCAGGGGCAAGAGCAATGAAACTGGCCGAAACCTTGAGACAAAATAAACTTTTCTTCTTCTAAGTTTTTTTGTCAGGTATTTAATCTCAGCTACCAAAAGTTGAATAACACATCTACCCATGTGATTAGTCATACATTTCCTTGTAGTTCACATAGTATGAAGACTTTTCCAACAAGAAGAAAGACAACATGTGCTTTGCTATAGATCCTTTCAGTTTCTCAGTTTTATATATAGAAAAATAGAAATGATTCATAAACATACTTCTAAAGTATTTATTCCATCATTTTCATTGGTTTAATCATTCTCATATTTGAGGAACTTTTTCAAAATATGACACCAGTAAAAAAGATGCCTTGTCATCCATGTAAATTTCTTGCTAATACAGTCGGAAGGTATAAAATTTTGTTAAACGTATGTTACAGGTAGAAGGGGGCCACATATGTCATTTAAGCTAACTTCTTTATTTTGTAAAAAGGGAATCTGACCTTAAGAGAAGTTAAAATCTTACCCAGGGATTCATAGTTCTTAATGACAGCATTGAGTCTTGAAGTTAGATAATATTAAACAAATTCAAGTGTCTTTCTACCACTATCAATTCCTTTAATGAATAATATTAGAACAAACTGTGGCTTTGGACTCCAAGGCCTAACCTATTTATCATGACCTTTTGAGTATACATTTTGTGTTTTCAGTAGATCTTGACATCAACCCATTTGCAAATTCCATATTTCATGAACCATAAGGGTATGCTTTTTGATCAACTAATACAGCAGGAAATTAGAAATTTGTGTATATACTTGTTTTGAATGAAGAATGATTTTTCATAAAGATTTTTCTTTTACTTGAGATAACTGCTCTTAAATGCATTATTTTTTATGCCTTTTAGTGACAGTGATTTTCTTTTCCTTTATGACATTTTAAACGTGCTTGATGACATGTGGAAATTAATTTCAATAATTGGATTTTATAGTATGGTAATATTATGATTTTTATGTTTTTGTATGAAAAATGGAAGATGATTTGTTTTCAGATATATTGAATAAATAAATAGTATTGTGTTAGCTTTATGAGAACAGTGGTTTTGTCATTGCACCCTATGCTACTATTACTTGGTATATTTGGTAACCAGTAGGTACTCAACTAGATACTCAGATTATTTTAATGTGTTGAATTGATTTTTCTCAGTAGTTAAATTTGGGGGCAGGTGTATACTTTTTAAAAAAGCAAATGAAATATATATTTTTAATATGTGTATTGATAAAATTTTAAATCATTGCTTAGTATATAAAGGAATACATGATAACTGTCAGTAAGCTTATAAACTTTGAACATGCCATGTGACTTTGACCATCATTTTTAATGAACCTAAAGGATAGTCTATCTAGTAACCGTTTCAGCCTTCTGGGTTGTTATTGGAATTAAGGGATCCAGATAAATGAGATTGCTCTCCTTAAATAACCTAGCCCTTGGTATTATAGAAGGACAAATCAGGAGAATCTTAGCTTTACTTTTGTAATGTTCACTGCTGAACTGCAGCTATACAGACATGGAGTCCCTCTGAGGTAACAGTCACTTTTTTACTACTAGAATAAGGCAGAATAATACTAGAAAGATAGAACGAAGAAGTTTTTCTTTTGCTATGTTAGAGTGTTTTCTCACCAGTGCATTATTTCACTAGTTTTATATAATCTCACCAAATGCTGTAGAACATATTAAATGAAGTCAAAATTGACATTTCATGATTTTTTAGTGTTACTTTTAGAAGAAAATGTTTTTGTTGTTCATATGGTAAAATAATTTTAACAATCAATAAAATATTCAACAGAAAATATTGGGAAAATTTTACAGGTTTGTAAAAATATCACTTTTAGAAAATTACTGGTATGAAAATAAATTTAGGTTTGAAAATTGGCTAGAAAATAAATGACAAGTGGATTCAGTTATGTAGAATCACAAATAATGTAATTTTTTTTTAGTTTAATTTTAATTGAATGAAAATTGTAGCTGCTTTATAATTTAATGAATTGTGCTTATGAGGTCAGAAAACCTCAATTGATTGGTCTAGTGAATATTAATAAGTATTATATGTGTAAAAAATGAAAAATTTGCCTCATAAATGCAGTTTGCATTCTAATTAAGTGATCTTACCTTTGGAGCCTTATACTTTTTGTTTGCTGTTGGTAATTGGAAGAAAATTCTTTTTATTCTAGTTTCTCTATATTATGTCAGGAAGACACTTAACCAGAAAAAACAATAATTCTTCATGCCTTGAATATTAATAAGATTGATTTGATTTTTAAAGTTACTAATTTACAATGAAATCAACTCATAAGTAAGAGATGATAAATTAATTTGGTTAAATAATAACAAGAAAACTAGATATTTCTAATATCAGTTTGGTTATTCTTAATCACTCTCATTTACCATGATATTTTTGATCACTAATAATTCTAAGCCTTATGCCATTTTAATTGGTAATTTTGCTTATTTTTAAATGAAACAAAGCATTTTTCAAAAGAACTAACAATTACCTATGAAACTAAGAGAAAACATTGAAATTTGAAGTTTCACAATATGAGCCACAGAAATTATTTATAAAATTCTTTTCTGTTTTAGAAAACGGAAGTGTTGTCCAAGTTGGAGAGTTGTTGCCTTGCAAAATTTGTGGAAGAACATTCTTTCCAGTAGCATTAGTGAGTAGACTGAATCTGTATCTTTTTCCTTTGGGGTTTAATAGATCTGTAATTGTTCAGTACTTAAGAATAACTCACATGGAGAGAATTTATGTAGAATGAATTTTGAAGTTTTGTAAAACTTGTTGAGGTGTTTGGGTTCCATTTGTGTCATTCTTCCAGAATACTCTCTTTCCTTCAGAGTTTGGTCTTCTGACTTCTCTGTTAAAGTGTTAATATTATCAGAAGCAAACAGAACAAACACACCCCCCCCTTTTTTTAGTACCCCCCCCCCCCTTTTTTTTTTTTTCATTTTTATGTTGAGATAGGGTCTTGCTAAGTTGCCCAGGTTGGCCTAGAACTTATGATCCTCCTGCCTCAGCCTCCTGAGTCACTGGGATTCCAGGCATGTTCTACCATGCCGGGCTACCAAACATCTCTTAATGTATACAATAATGTATTTATAGATACAAAATGATATAACGTCTAGGATTTGCTTTAAAATACTTTAGGGGAAAAAAGCAGGGCTACACAAAACAAAAGTGCTAAAATGCTATTAATTGTCAAAGCAGTGAAGAGTAAATTGGACTTCATTATACTAATCTCTTAACTCTCCTGTGTTTGAAATATTGCAAAGAAAAAAAAACATAATTTTTTTTTTTACAATATACAAGTGTACCTAAAATGCATTTTTCATTTTTTAAATAGTTTTGGTTGCAAAAATAGTTTTGTAATCCATACAAATAGAAATTCTTCTAATTGATCTTAATAAAAATTAGCTAAATAAGAAAAAATAAAAATTATGCCTTATATACTTTAAATATTTTAACTTTGAACATAATTATGTATTTATTAAAATTTTGATAAATAATATGTTAAAAATAGGGATCTGCTGGCAAAATATACTGTGCATATCCTTGTTTCCAGTTTATTTCTTTAAAGCAAAATGAGGGATTAATGATAAAAAAAAGTTCATTTGACAGTGGACACCTAAATAATTTGACTTTTTTGTAATCCTTTAGAAATATCTTTCCCACACATGTAGGGATTTTTTTTTTTTTTTCTCATCAAATCACTGTTTTTCAAAGTATTTTCAAAGCAGTCAGCTGAATTTTCACAGACAAAAATGCCAATTCTCCCTCAGTTATTTATTTATCTAATATTAAATTAAATGATATAGTTATAATAACTACACTTTGTATAATCAGGTTTGGAAATGAACTCCACAGGCACTTGACACATAACAACTAAATTTGTGAGACTAGACATACACGGGTGTAGTAGAAAATCACATGCGAGCCTGTTTTTATTACTTAAGAACTCTTATTCTAACAGCTATAATTATAGTGCTTATTTGTTGAAATTGAAAACAGATCTGTGAAACAGTTGATTACTAATTGTCTACTGAAAGCATAACAGGCTCCTGACTTCAAATAAGCCAGCTCTCAAATTTGCTTTTTTTTTTCAGATAAAATTTAATGGTTCCAGCTTCTTCAGAGTTTCTTAGAACACAAATGAAAAAAATGCCTGTATTGTAATGTCATCAGTCAATGTGCTTTGTATAGTGAAGGAAGAATTTGTTTTATCTAATTGATTAATTAAAAGCCAGTTAAGAGAAGTTTACTGGTATTTAAAATGAATGAATTGGTAACTATTTTTTAAAAACCCTATAGGAATAGAACACTAGATATCTTAAAAAAAAAAATCTTAGTGAAGAAAAGTAGAAAGTGTGAATTCTAGAAGGGAAGAAAGAGATAAAAGACCATTTTGTCTTTATTTTTGTGTTAACATTATATTAACATAACTAATATGTTACTTTTGTTAATCTACATTATTCCTATTATGTTAGCTTTTGTTAATCCTAAAATCAATGCATTCTTCTCTATATAGCATTTCTTTTTCTAGTACCCATGTTTAGGTGTGAAGACCTTTGCTTTTCATTCAAGTAGATTTGATTTTATATTCTTTTCCTTACCAGAAAGGTATTATATAACTCTTAGTAAAATTTTACAAAAGTATTTTTCTATAATTTCTTGCTATAAGAAAGAAAACTTATGCATTTTACATATACATTTTAAAAAAATATAGTTAAGACAAAGCATACATTATCATTATATGATCTTCAGGTTTTTAGTTAGGCTCAGATTTTTTAAACCACTCTCAACTTATGTTTTATAATGTTCTCTTCTGTAGGGAAGAAAATAATATGTTGCATGTTTTCATCTTAACAGAAAAAGCATGGACCCATTTGTCAGAAAACTGCCACTAAAAAACGGAAGACTTTTGATTCAAGCAGGCAAAGAGCTGAAGGAACTGATATTCCAACAGTAAAACCTCTTAAACCTAGGGTAACTTTTTAACAGAATTAATCTTACTGTTATGTATATTAACAATTATAATTATCTGTTATTAACAATTATAATTATCTGTTATGCTATGATTAATAAAATTCTATGTATTTAGCTTAAGAATTTTTATTAACTTACATTGTAATTGAAATTTTAACTGTAAAGGGGACATTAAAGTGTCATCTCAAACTTCCATCAAATATAGTGAGAAATTTGTAGCATTTGAGAGCCAGTTGCTTAGCTATCAGTGGGAAATAATTAAAACAAATGTGTTCATACATTCTTTTTAAGTCATTGTTAATACTTAAGATATAACTTAAGTTTTGAACTCTTTCTTACCATTATAACCTCTTAAGTTCATATATGGAAAATAAAGCTTTTCTTACAAACATGTTAGCATAATAGAAGTTGATTACTTTGATGAATTGGTTTATGGCCAGTACTTATAATTTATATTATGCTTTCTGGGGATAAGATTTATCAGTTGTTCAGTTGTCCCACATATATCTGTTACCTTATTTTCTTTCTTGGAACCAAAGCAAAGAACCTCTCATGATAGTCTCTTCTTAATATCTGTCATATGTTACATAGCTAAGAATAAATCATTTAAATGCATTGTCACATATAGTTTTAAATGGTCAGTTCATTGAAATGATCTAGGTGAAGTACCTTATTGAGTGGTTTTTGAAACAACAACAGCAAAAAAAACACTGCTTTCAATGCTAATAACTTCTTCCAGGGTATAAGAGGAACACTTCCCTAAAAGAAATTAATCTTAGAATAAAATTATTTCAATATAGGAAAATCAAATATTTATCTTCATTTTATAGTCTGTAAATATTTATGGTAAGAATGGTGAAATTTGAATAAGGTACAAAAATCAGTATTTGAAGTTTTTCTTAGTAACCTCCCAGATAATATGATTATATTAGTTTAAGTAGATAAACTAGCCCAATCTTTGGATGCAGTATTACTTCATATGTATGGCCACATATCTGGATTTGACTCTGGCTGTGTAACATCTAATGTTATTTTGGGCAAATTATGTATGCTTCCATTTACTATACAATGGTGATAGAAGTAGTATCTGTATTGGGGGGTTATTGTGGAGATTAAATAATATTATCCATAGGGAGTTATATTTAATAGTTTTTTTAAAAGCAAAGTAAAAAACCATTCTTTTGTATTAATTAATTAATTGCCTTGCTCCCAAAAGTGTGGTCCATAGAGCAGTAATATCAGCCATATTTGAAAACTTGTTGGAAATATGGAATCTTTGGTCCACACAGAGATACTGAATTAGAATTCACTTTTAACAAAATCCTTGTACCCATTAACAAAATCATATACCCATGCAACTTTGAGGCCAGTGTTTTAGAAGATTTGAACATTATAATATGGTTCTCAATGTTATTTACCTAGATCAAGGAAATCCTACAAAATGATAAGCAGAGTAGGGGCACAACAACTGTATGAACTCTATTTTTGGTAAAACTAAAGGCACAGACTACCAAATACATATAAGTGCTGCCCAAAGCAGTTGAGATCCAGGTTAAGGTACTGAAAATGGAAAGTCCTGGAAGTTTCTGAAAGTCCCATGGATCAGATAGTGAGAATCTCATGCCTTAGAGGGGAAAGATCTCTTCAACTTGAAGGTGATTCCTCAGAGATGAGAGGTCTTGTTAGAAAGAATATATCCCTTTGTTAACTGCAGCCAAGGCAGGAACCAAGATAAAGTGTAGGAAATTGGATAGCCAGGCCCTAGAATGAGCAGGACTGAAGTTGTTCAAAAGCCAAGAATGAGGAAGAGAGAATTGAGCAGGCCCAGTAGCATAGGTTCTCGCAAACTTATGTGTAGAGGCCCAACTTAAACTCAGGTGTGCTTTTTAGAAGTGGTTGTGGGAACTGAGAGAAGCAGAGCTGGCAGCAGTAGCCTTTTGTATACATACTATTTTTGTTTTACACAAGTAGAAGAGTCAGAAAACTGCCACTGAAAAACAGAAGACTTTTGATTCAAGCAGACAAAGAGCTGAAGGAACTGATATTCCAACATTAAAACCTCTTAAACCTAGGGTAACATGGAAACAAACAGAGAGATCTTATTTGTAGTAAGTAGTCTATATTTGGTCTAACAAAGAAAATGGTTGCTGATATGTAGCCTGGAAGTCTATCCTGGGCCTCTCTTCCCCAAAATCTCTTGCAAGTAGTTGTGCCAGGAAAATCTGATGCATTCAAGGATGAGTAATAAGAAACCTGTTTACATTGATACAAAGATACTATGAGAAGAAAAAATACCAAGGAGCAGTCAAACTTACCAATAGATGAGTAATACTCTTTATGGAGCAGATGAATTTTATGAGTAGACATTTACCTATAAAATAAGAAAGTTTTTATTTAAGATTTTTTTGGTATCTATATCCATAAAAGATGTGGGTCTTTAATTTTCCCTTATATCAAAGTTTTGTGGCTCTCATAAACTAGTTGGAAAGTTGCTTTCTAGGTATTTAAGTAATATGATAAAATCTTTATTTCATGATACATGAGTCAGCATCCTATTTAGTGTAAAGACATTGGTAGTCCATTAAAATTAGGGATGAGATTAAACTGCAGCCAATAGAGTAAGTGCTAACTGATACTGTTAGATAAGAAAAAGAAATTGGATGTATAGAAATTGGAAAAGAGTTACTAGAAGATACAGTATACTAGAAGGTATAATATTGCTGGTTAAAAGAATAACCAGGAAAATATTGCAAAAGATAATAAAATAGGATTACCCTGTCATATCAATATATGTTATAAAGTCTCAATATTTAAAATACTAGTACTAACTTAAGGATAGTTAGAAAAATGGAATGGAAGAGAAAGTTTTGAAATATGCCCAGATTCAAAAGGGTTTAGTTTGTGATTAATATGTTTTCACAGTTCTGTGGGGAAAAAAGTTAAAGGGTGGTTTGATAGCTGCATTGTCTTCTTAAAAGAAAATAATGAATTGAATTCATATATTTCACCATTTACCAGAATAATTACAACTGAATACAATTTTAAAATTTAAATTTTTAAAATGGAAACCATCCATGTTCCAGAAGGAAACATGGGAACATTTTATTTTGCCTTGGTATGTGTTTGGCCCAGGCAAACTTACTATGTTGGCCTTGGTATGTATTTGGTCCAGGTACTTACTGTGATTGCAGACTATGAAAGAAAAGATTAGTAAATTAAACTACCTTTTAAAAAGTTCTGCATTTTAAAGGATCCATAGCAAAGTCAAAAGACAGGCCAGTTGTTGGAGGGAATAATAGCTAAAGAACTACTAGAAATTGTCACACACAGACCCAAGAACCCAACCAATAAACAGGACAAGGAATATAAAAAGTTTATAGGATAAATGATACAGATGGTGTTTAGTGAAGTGAAAGAATGTTCAATCTCAGGGCAAGAAAAATCCAATTAAATCCACATTAGAGAGGACAATATTTCACCTTTTAGTCAGTTGAAATCTCAAAAGTTTGCTAAATTTCATTGGAGAGATTATAGGAAAACAGAAAAATGCACTATTACTGGGAGCATAAATGCATGTTACACCTATAGAGGATGTCTGTCAATTAGAATTATATTTTAAAAGTTGCATACAGTGCAACTGCATAAAAAGTTAATTTGGGAAGGAATCTTTTAAGGATTCCTGTTAAGAGAATATGATACTAAATGATTTGGCATTATCTCAGGTTTTATTTATATTTATTAATAGTTTTGATATTGGGTTTTCTTCATTTATAGCCAGAACCACCAAAGAAACCTTCAAATTGGAGAAGAAAACATGAAGAATTCATTGCCACCATAAGAGCAGCTAAAGGCCTCGATCAGGCACTTAAAGAGGGTGGCAAACTTCCTCCTCCTCCTCCACCTTCTTATGATCCTGGTATATATGGAATACTGTTGATATAAATATTCACATGGACAGAAAATAATGATAGAATATTTATGCATTTTAAGTTGTAACAAAACTTGAACCTAAAGCATAATCTCTAAATACTTTGATATTAAATAATGGTCATATCCCAGCCATCTAGGATTATAAAGATAAATCTGTGTGGAGTGTAGGAGTGCATTATCCTTTTATCACAGTACTTGTATTTAAGCATAAAAATTATAGCATGTTTAAAAATTATATGGAAAATTATATGTTAGTTTTCTAGGAGATAAATTAATCATGTTCATTGTGGGTTGAGATACAGTCATTGAGTGGAATTCAGATAGTTATGTTGACTAGTTCTTTGGTATCTTCTTATCTAGGAAGAAAAAAAGGCCAATATTTGTAAGGTATATATCTCACATAGGAAAACTATGATATAGACTGATTACCTAAATTATGCTTTTAATTTTATTTTCTTCATTGAATAGCTAAAAGTTGCATTGTTCAGGGTTAACAAAATGTAAAACAAGATTTTGGCAAACCCACATGAGATATTGTGATCCTAATAGACAATTAGCTATTGGTTATTAGAACAGCCTAAAGTTTATTTTAATGAACAAGTTAGCCACATTAAAATTGAGTTAGTATTCTAGATTGAGGTTTATTTCTTAGGAAAGAGAATGTTGTTCAGCAAATCTAGACACAATCTTTTTTTAAAATATTTTATTGTAGAGGAGAGGTCTGCAAATAAAAAAGCCGTAAAGTAAACTTTTTAGACTTTGTATGCCATAAGGTACCTGTTGGAACTTTAACTCTTTCATTATTTCAATAAGTCATAGATAATGTATAAATGAACAGGCATAGCTATGTTGTTCCAATGAAATATTATTTACATAAAGAGGCAACAGGCAGGCTGAATTTGGCCCATAGGCTATACTTTGCCAAATACTACTTTAGAGTATTAGTAATTACTTTTAATTGTTTTGACTATTTCTGAGATGCTCCAACTGGGCTTTGAAACACTTCTGTCTTTATTTTACCCATGAAGTTGAGTTTTCTACTTTGTAGGTATTTGGATATTGCATACATTTTTTTTTTTTCTTTTCATGTCTGCATTAGTGAGTGAGGGAGTACCAGTTCTTTGGAATGGTAATGGGATTTAGAAAATTCTCTTTGGCTTGACAAAAACTACTTCTTTGTTATTAGGGGTTTTAGTGTAATTTTTAAAGATCACACTCCCTATCTAAAAGTAAACATGTTGAAATAAGTGAAGATTTTTTTTTTTGGCACTAATTTTTTGTTTATTCCCAGTTTTTCATTCAGTTGAGGTCCTTTGAAATGATTCAAAATTTGGTTATGGGTTAATTCTGAAATTTTATTTACAGTTACTACATTTTGGAAGAATATTTTGTCTTAGAAATATCCATTGTCTCTTAAATTTGAATTAATTATGTTAATTTTAAGTTTTTTAAAATCACTTCTTCCATCTGTTAGGACCTCTAAAAGAAAGTAAAGTTGTTGGAAGTGAATAAAACTATTTTTCGATGGTTTTCTCTAATGGATGTATAAGATTCTATGGATAAATCTATATTTTAAGTGGTATATTAGTACGGTATATTAGTTTTAACTAGTCTACCATATACAGTATATATACAGAATGAAAGCATACGGTATTATAGAAGTAAAGGAGAAATGATCTCTTTTCTTCTACTTATTCATTCTTTTGTCCTGAAGATTTATCTTTTGTTCTTTTTTTCTCTTCAGTTCTCCTCAAATTTGATTCAAAGTTAGAAAAAAATTAGAATGAATTCATTGGACTTTTTCTTTATAGTCTTTACTAAGTTTATCAGGCTGGATGTTATATGGAAATGGGAGTTTTTGCTTATCAGATATTAACTATGTTATGCATCTTTAATTATTGTTCATTAAAAACCAATGATTCTTAATATCCCCTTTCAGGTATTCTCTTATTAATCTGTTTCTGTCTTAGATTATATTCAGTGTCCATATTGCCAAAGGAGATTTAATGAAAATGCAGCTGATAGACATATCAATTTCTGTAAAGAACAGGCAGCACGTATTAGTAACAAAGGCAAGTTTTCTACTGACACCAAAGGAAAACCAACTTCTCGGACACAGGTGAAATGCTCAATTTTAATAATTTCTATCGATCAATGAGAAAATGACACTTTGAGATTCATAGTTTATGTTTATGCTTTAGAGGACATTATACTATAATTTTATCACCTGATAAAATAAATGTCTAAGGGATTAAAATGCTTAATTGAAAATAATTATTAAAATTAATTGATTTGAGAAGTACTTGAGTTGGTAGGGACTTGAAAATGTATCAATTTAAAGAGTAATAAAGTAATAAAATAAATTAAACATAGGATTACCAAATTCAGAGGAAACATAAAAGGTTTGGAAGACTGAGTTAATGGCAATAAAAGTCAAAGTTTGAAAATCATGTCAGTACTGAGAAATGTACATGAGGGAAGGGAAACTTGGATTCACATTCTAATTGTTTCTTTGGAACTTCTAGACAAATAACATGCCATTAAGTGATAACCACCTGATGATTATGAAAAACAAATGAAACAATGTATATGAAAGCCCATAAACTACTGATATATAAGGTTTTATAGTAAATTAATTTTTATAACACTATTGTTTTTCTTTAAACACTATCACACAAAAATATTGACAATGTTAGACTTATGAGCATATTTCTGTTTTCACATAGCTTTTTTTTACGAACAAATTTTTTTCTCTTTTGAGAAGGGGTTGCACTGTATTTCCCAGTCTGACCTTGAACTCCTGTGGCCAAAGGATCTTTGGTTTCTCAACCTCCCAAATAACTGATACTACAGATGAGTACCCCTGTATCTGATCTAGCAGGTTTTATTGAGTGTTGTAAATCTAAACAACAAATGGTTGAGTTCATATCTCTTGTTACTTACAAGTAATATGTTAGATTAAAAGACCCCCAATACAATAGGGGCTTCTTTGAGAGAATCTTTGTACTGAGTTCTTAAAATGTTATTGAAAATAGACCATATCATTAATATCATTGTCATTTTGGGGAAAACACCTTTTGTTAAGCTGAGCACAATGGCACATGCCTGTAATCCCCTGGTCCTCTGGAGACTGAGGCAGGAGGATTGCAAATTCGAGGGTAGTTTGGCAAACATTTGATTTTTGACTGTGCAGTACTATATTAGCTAGCTGTGAGTTTTCATCTCTGACTTGTGTCAAGCTAAGAATGTTCTCCTGTATTTAATGAGGGTTTATTTGTTTGTATTTGTTTTTGTTCTTTAACTGCAAATGTAATTTGAATTTTGTATAATGCTGTTTATCTATCCAAACACTAATGTGGTTTTTCCTGCATTATGTTATGCTTATGATAAATTACACTGATTTTCAAATGTCAAACTTAATTTGCATTCAGTGAGTAAATTCTCCTTAGTCAAGAATTATTATTTTTATGTTTTTTTAATTTGATATACTAAAATTTTGTTAAAAAATTTTTCATCTATCCTTATGGGGAAGGATAGATGAAATGATCTATAATTTGGCTGGTATTGATTGAGAGTAATACTTGCCTCATCAGAGGTTTGCAGTTATTTCCTATTTTCTGGAAAAGTTTTTGTTATTTTTTTTTTCTTACATTTTTTTCTGGAGTTCAACAGTGAAGATTTCTAGGCATACAGTTTCCTTTTTTCTGAGATTTTAAATTATTACATAAATTATTTTATTAATTGTAAGGTTGTTTAATGTGGTAGTTCTTGGTTTTTCAGTTAGCATTTTGCTTTTTAAAAGCAATTTACCTCTTTTATATATATAGTTGTATTTATTGACATAAAATTATTAACTTTTTAATGCCTACAAATAACATGCCATTAAGTGGCATGTTATTTATTCCCCTTTTTCATTCCTGAAACTGATATTTTATATTTTCATTTTTCTCTCCAACAAGTAGTTTTGTTTTGTTTACCTCTTTTTCCAGCCTTGCAAGAGGCTTATGAAATTTTATTACATCTTTACGAAGACTTTTTTTCATTGCATTGTTCGAGTGCATCTTACAATTCTTTTTCTCCACATTTTTTAATAGAAGCATTATAGTTGGACATACTGATGGGATTTATCACAATACAGAATATAACAATACAATTGACTAGTTTCACTCCCTAACACTTTTTCCCTTCTTCCCAACCTCCTCTGGTGCCTTTTCCCTTTACTGATCTCCCTTTAATTTTCTTGAGATCTGCCCCCTGCTTTTGTTTTCCTTTTTCCTCTTTAGCTTGTACATATGGAAGAAAAACATATAACTCTTAAATTTCTTAATTTGACTTATTTCATTTAACATATGGTCTCTAGTTCTATCTATTCTCTACAAATGACATCATTTCATTTTTCTTTATGGCTGATTAAAACTCCATTGCATATATATTACCACATTTTTAAAAATTCGTTTGTCTGTTGGTGGACACCTAGACTGCTTTCACAATTTGTGAATTGTGCTGCTGCAAACATGGGTATGCATGAATCACTGTAGTATGATGACTTTAATTCTTCAGGATAAATATTGAAGAGTGGTATTGCTGAGTTATATGTTGGTTCCATGTCTAGTCTTTTGCGGAACCTCCATACTGATTTCTATTGTTGTACTAAATAGCCGTCCTATCAATAGTGTAAAAGTATTCTTTTTCTCTCCCCATCCTCTCTAGAATTTATTATTAGTGTTCTTAATGTCAGCCATTCTGACTGGTGTAAGATGAAATCTCAGTCTAGTTTTGATTTGCATTTTCCTAATTACTAAGGATGGTGAACATTTTTTCATATATTTGTTGGCCATTTGTATTTCTTCTTTGGAGAAGTGTCTGTTTAATTCATTTGTCCATTTATTAACTGGGTTATTTGATTTTTTTGGTGTAAAGTTTTTTGAGTTCTTTATATATTCTAGATTTTAATCCTCTGTTAGAAGATTAACTAGCATACATTTTCTCCCATTCTGTGGATTCTTTCTTCACACTTTTAATTGATTACTTTGCTGTTCAGAAGCTTTTTAATTTGATACCATCCCATTTATCATATTGTGAATCAACTCTTTTGATATTATTTCCTGAGCTTCATGGGTCCTATTAAGAAAGTTTTTGCCTGTGCCTAAAAGTTGAAGTGTTGGTCCTGTGTTTTCTTCTAGGAGTTGCATAGTTTCTGGTCTAATTCCTATGTCTTTGATCCATTTCAAGTTGATTTTTGTGCAGGGTAAGAGATAAAGGTCTAGTCTCACTCTTCTATATATGGATAACCGTTTTCCCAGCACCATTTGATAAAAAGGCTATCTTTTTCTCCAGTGTATGTTTTTGGCACCTTTATCAAGAATCAGATGACTGTAGATGTGTGGGTTTATCTTTGTATCTTATATTCTGTACCATTAGTCTTTGTGTTTGTTTTTATGCCACTACCATGCAGTTTTTGTTACTCTAACTGTAGAATAGTTTGAAGTCAGATATTATAATGTCTCCAGCATTGCTTATTAACCTCAAAATTGCTTTGGATATTCTGGGTCTTTATTCTTCCAAATGAATTTTAGGACTGTTTTTCTAGTTCTGTGATCTCATTGGTATTTTTATGGGGATCATATTGAATCTGTATATTGCTCTTGGTAGTATCACCATTTTAACAATATTAATTTTTCCTATATATGTATGATTATGGGAAGTCTTTCCATCTTCTGAGGTCTTCTTTAAATTCTTTCTCAGTATTTTCATTGTAGAAGTCTTTCACATCCTTGACTTATTCTAAAGGTGTTTTGTTGTTGTTTTATTTGTTTTCTGTTTTTTGAGCCTATTACAGATGGAATTATTTTCCTGATTTCTTTCACAACATGTTTATTATTGGTATGTAGGAAAGCTATTGATCTTTGTATGTTGATTTTGTTCACTGCTACTTTGCCACATTTGTTTATTAGCTCTAGAAGTCTTTTGTTGGAGTTTTTTGGATCTTTTGGATATAGGATCATATCATCTGTAAACAGTGATGGTTTGATTTCTTCATTTTCTGTGTTTATCCTTTTATTTCCTTCTCTTGCCTAATTGCTCTGACTAGAATTTCTAACACTGTATAAAATAGGAGTAGTGAGAGTGAACAGTCTTGTCTTCTTTCAGATTTTAAAGGAATGCTTTCAGTTTTTCCCCATTTACCATGAAATTGGATTTGGATTTTTTCATTTATAGCCTTCATAATGTTGAGGTAGATTCCTTCTATCCCTAGATTCTTTGGTGTTTTTATCATGAATGGGTATTAAATTTTGTCAAAAGCCTTCACTGCATATGTTGAGATGACCAAGTAATTTTGTTCTTAATTCTTTTTATGTGACGAATTATATTTATTTTATGTATTAAGCCATCCTTGCCTCTGAAATAAAACCAACTTGACTGTGGTGTACACTCTTCTTCACATATTGTTGAACATGATTTGCTACTGTTCAAGTATTTTTGAATCTAAGTTCATCAGGGATATTGGTCTGTAGTTTTCTTTCCTTGATGTGTTCTGTTCTTCTTTTGGTATGAGTGTAATATTGGCTTGATAGAAGGAAGTATTCCATTCATTTCTTTTTTTTTAATTTTAATTTTTTTTATTGGTTGTTCAAAACATTACAAAGTTCTTGACATATCATATTTCATACATTAGATTCAAATGGGTTATGAACTCCAATTTTAACCCCAAATACAGATTTCAGAATCACCTTGGTTACACATCCACATTTTTACATAATGCCATATTAGTGACTGTTGTATTCTGCTACCTTTCCTATCCTTTACTATCCCCCCTCCCCTCCCCTCCCATCTTCTCTCTTACCCCATCTACTGTAATTCATTTCTCTCCTTGTTTTTTTTTCCGATTCCCCTCACAACCTCTTATATGTAATTTTGTATAACAATGAGGGTCTCCTTCCATTTCCATGCAATTTCCCTTTTCTCTCCCTTTCCCTCCCACCTCATGTCTCTGTTTAATGTTAATCTTTTCCTCCTGCTCTTCCTCCCTGCTCTGTTCTTAGTTGCTCTCATTATATCAAAGAAGACATTTGGCATTTGATTTTTAGGGATTGGCTAGCTTTACTTAGCAAAATCTGCTCTACTGCCATCCATTTCCCTGCAAATTCCATGATTTTGTCATTTTTTTAGTGCTGCGTAATACTCCATTGTGTGTAAATGCCACATTTTTTTTTATCCATTCATCTATTGAAGGGCATCTGGGTTGGTTCCACAGTCTACCTATTGTGAATTGTGCTGCTATGAACATCGATATGGCAGTATCCCTGTAGTACGCTCTTTTAGCTCTTTTAAGGTCTTCAGGGAATAGTCCGAGAAGGGCAATAGCTGGGTCAAATGGTGGTTCCATTCCCAGCTTTCCCAGGAATCTCCATACTGCTTTCCAAATTGGCCGCACCAATTTGCAGTCCCACCAGCAATGTACAAGAGTACCCTTTTCCCCACATCCTCACCAGCACTTGTTGTTGTTTGACTTCATAATGGCTGCCAATCTTACTGGAGTGAGATGGTATCTTAGGGTGGTTTTGATTTGCATTTCTCTGACTGCTAGAGATGGTGAGCATTTTTTCATGTACTTGTTGATTCATTTCTATTTCATCAAATAATTTGAAGAGTATTGGCATTACTTTAAGGGTTTGGTAGAATTCAACTAAAAATCCATCTTGTTTTTTCTTTGTTGGAAGGCTTTTTATTACTGCTGTTAGCTCATTGCTGTAGTTATAGGTTTGTTTAGGTTTTCTATGTCCTCTTTGATTCAGTTTTGGCAGATCTTATTTATCCAGATATGAGTACATTTCTAGGCTTTCCAATATATACAAATCTCAATATGCTTCTTATTGATCAGTTTAAAATATTTTCTAATATGTAATTCTATTACTCATAGTTTATTTCAGAGTGAAGCATTTAGTTATGGATAGTTGGGGCTTTTTCTCAATGTTTTATTTTTGTTTAATTCTGTTGTAGTCTGGTAAAACATTAGGCAAAATTTCCACCTTATTGAGATTTGTTTTATTGATGCACATATTCTTTTTTGGTGGATGTTACATGACATCTGGAAAAAAAATATGTGCTCTGCTCTTGAGTTTTACAAATAAGTGAATTTCTCTTAATATTTATAATTTGTTATATATGTCCCTTTTACCATGTGATGTATCCCTTTTCTGTGGCAGCATTCCTTTTGTTCAAATGTGTTTCATCTGGTAAGAATATAGTCATTTACTTAATTATTCATTTTTTGTTCTTTCTTTTCTTTAAATGTCTTTGCATACTCTGTAGACAAGCCTATAATTCATTCTTCTTTTTTTTTAATTTAGCTTAGCAACCATAACCTGTTGGTTGAAGTGTTGAGACATTTCTGTTTAATGTAATTATTCTTGATAGGTTGTGCTGAGGTCTGCCATGTTGCATTCTTCAATTTTTGATTCTTCTTTTACTTCTCTGTCTCTTTTGTCTTAATAAGCAACACTTTTTTTTTGTTGGCTAACTCTGCTTTTTGTTTTTTTAAATTTTCTATAGGAATAGCATAACTTATTTTTATCTATGAATTTTTCCATTTACCTCCTACCATCTTTAGTGCTAGTGTGTTTATATATACATATACACACATATATAGATATGCATGTGTGTATATATACATATATTTAAAATATATGAAAAAAATAATGACTTTATAGACATGATAAGCCTGTCAGTACTCTTGATGTTGTTGTTATGAAGTGTTAGACTCATTGTTTTAAAAGTCATCTGCTTTTAGCCAGGCTTATTGGTGCTTGCTTGTGATGCCATTGACTTGGGAGGCTGAAGCAAAAGGATGGCAAGTTAGAGACTAGCCTCAGCAACTTAGCAGACCTTGTCTCAAAATAAAAAATAAAAGGGACTAGGGACGTATCTCAGTGGTAAATTGCCCTTTGGTTCAATCCCCAATACTAAAAACAAAACAAAGCCCAATCATCTGCTTGTAAAGTAATTGAAAATGTGTAAATATTATATACATATGTACATAATATGTATATACAAATATATATACACACCTATATTAATTTATACATATACTTTGTGTTTTAATTTATACATATACTTTGCGCTTTATATTACACATGTATTTATCTTCCCCAGACATAATCATTCTTGCTTGCAAATCTAAGCTGCTATCTTTTTTTCATTTCCCATCAGTCTGGAAAGGTTTCTTGAGTCAGTATTGCATATCTATTGGCAATGAATTCTCCATTTTTGGTTATCTGAAACATCATATTTTCCCTTCCTTCTCGGTTAAGATACCCTACTATTTATTTACTACTTATCATATTCATCATGTTCCCCCTTAATTTTATTTTCAGAAACATTTTGAACATAACTATAATAATTATTTTTAAGTCTTTGATTGCTAAATCTGACACCTCTGCCCATGTGGAATTGATTTCTGTTCACTGTCATTTTTTTGTTGAGTACGAGCCATATTTTTTTTTTTAATATTTATTTTTCAGTTTTCGGCAGACACAACATCTTTGTTTATATGTGGTGCTGAGGATCGAACCCTGGCCACACGCATGCCAGGCAAGCGTGCTACCACTTGAGTCACATTCCCAGCCCGAGTACAAGCCATATTTCCCTGTTCATTTGCTAGAAATATTTTGCTGAAAACTAATTATTATAGTTAATATACCAAACTGGTTGTTTTTCATTGTTTTTCTCCTCTTAGGAGTGGGAGAGTATCTTATATCTTAGGCAGTTAAACCCAGAGGACACAGTTTTGGATCCTCTCAGTCTTGTTTTTTATGTTTGTTTGTTTTTTTTTAAATCCTCTTATAATTATTATCTACAGGAGAGTTATACAGCTACTTTACCCCTTTACACTGAGATTGTAATTTATTACCACATTTTTAATTTCTTGAAGTTTTTTTAGTTTCCTACATTTTATTGTTTCCAATTTCTCATAAACTATTCTCATATCCATCATTTATTTAAGTATAATACACATAATTATTTTGTTGTAATATGTGTCTGATAATTGTAGTATCAGGCAGCCTTAAATGTGTTCCTGTCTTCTCCCCCATATTCATGGCATATACTTATTCCTTGTTATTATGTTATTCCATGGTTATTATTGACTATTTTCAACTTGTTACCATTCAGAAAGTATTTATGATGGTTATTATGCCTTCTTATATCTGCCTTCTCACAGAGAAAATTTGTGTTTGTTCCTTCCTGGTATCTAGGAGTACTATGACCCTGGAAATATTTAAATTAAATTATTAGTGTTATTTCCTTGACTAGTCTAATTTGTAAAGCAAATACATGTGATAGCCAAGCAGGTATTATAAATCTCAAATTGATTGGAATTAGGTTGGCAATTTCTTTTCCTCCCATCTGACTTTCAGTGCTTTTTAAATTACTTTGTACATACATTGTTATACTTTCATGCTCGTTTTTTAGTTTTTCAATAAAGGGTTAGTCCAAATAGACCATTTTTGAGAAATAAACTTTCTATGATTTCAGCAAAAATCTTTGTAAATATGAATATTTTACTTACACCATAAACATTTGAGTTTATAGTCAGTGGGATTAAATACACTTATAATGTTGTGCAGTGTCACCATTCATCTCCATAGTTTTTTTTCTTGTAAAGCTAAAATTTTAGACTTGAAGAATGTGAACTTTTGAATTACTAGTTTATAATTCATAATCAGAAAATTATGTTAATAGAATATTTTATTTTTATTATTTTAGTATAAGCCACCTGCACTTAAGAAGTCAAATTCTCCTGGAACCATGTCATCAGGATCTTCACGATTACCACAGCCAAGTGGCATTAGCAAAACTGTTGTAGGTAATGAGATCCCATAAAATCACTTAATTTTTAAAAACTGTTTAGAGAAGGAAGTAAAGATTGTGCTATATTCTGGATTATTAAAATAGTTTTATAATTAAGAGATGTGCATTAGTAATTATTTATGGATACAAATAAATCACCTTTCAATAGCTTATACTTTATTTTATTGGTTTTTATACTTAATATATGTTCAGAATAACTGGCCAGGTTCTTTTTTTGATTCACTGACCACAAGTATTTTCCTCTCATTTCTACCTTGGTTCCTCAGACTTCTCTGATTTGACAATTTTCCTGATTAAAAGAATAATAATAATGGTTTGAAGAACATATTGGCCACTGAAATGTACCTTTATTTTTATGTATGTTATAATCTAGAAATTAGAAATGAATATGTTATTCCCTGGAAATAACATTTTAAAATATCACTTTTAAGAAGAATTTTTTTAATTAATAACTTGACTTATAGCTGTAAAAAACATTACTAAAGAATTGTTTTCCTTGTCAGATACTGTATTCTATGTTAACTTTTTAGAGAATTCTTTAACTGTTGCCTTTTTTGTCATAAGGTACACCTTCAGGTAAAGTGCCTTCAGTTAGCAGCTCTTTGGGAAACAAACTTCAGTCCTTATCTCCTTCTCATAAAGCTATAGCAACTCCTCAGGCAGGGTAAGTTTACATTCAATAATTTATTCATGGTATGTCTTTAAATGGCATTAAACTTTTATTTTGATTCTAGTAATCAGCCTTTTCATTAAACTTAATTTTCTAAGTTTTTTTTTTAATGTATTGTTAATTAGGATCATACTCATCCTTGTTGAGAACCTAAACTAGTATTTAGAAAATAATCTGATGGTATTTATCATGAGCCTTAAAATGATCATATTTTTGGTTGAATAATTTTATTTCTAGGAATGTACTCTCATGAAATATTTTGAAATGTTTTTTTGAAGGGTTATTTAATGCTTATAACTTGCTAAGCACTATGTGTCAGGCACTGTGCTAGACATTTTGCATGTATTTTTATTAAAACCTCTCCACACCATGAATAACAAAATCAGAAGCAATTTTTTTAAAGCCACAAGCTGTTAAGTGAAACAAGATACAAGTTGAGATTTACTTTAAATATTTGAATATTTATTTATTTGTTTTTATTATGTTCACAATTATAATGTAAAAAAGTGAAATAAAATCACTAGCTTTAATTGAATAGTATGCTTTGAAAATCTATAAAGGGATATTTTACAGCCAGAAAAATATAAATAAATTTTAATAAGATAATTCTGCTATACACAGAGAAAATTATGTGTAAAAATATAGACAATATATGCTGAAATATCAAATGGGTAATTCTTTTCCTTTTATTTAATCCTTTTTTATGCATTTTTCACACATTGTTACCTAGTTGGCTTTAAACCCATTTTGTCCCATATCCCATTTGTGGAACATCTCTAAAAACTTAAAATTGAAAACAAGTAGGCCATTCTTGGATTTTGAAATAATTGTTACGTTGGCAGAATTGAATATTTGGGACTTAAAAGGATTAATGAAGTAGCTTAAATCAACTTTTAATAATCCATTTTAATATGGAAAATTTGTTGGTAATGCCAGAGATTTTAATATCAAGTCACCTGTTATAAATTTACTTTCCCTTTCATTTTAATAAATCAGAAAATTAGGCTAATAATATAGCCCTATTGTTATATAAAATATAGCCATATTATTTTCAAATATAAGTTATCTGTGGCTCACATTCATTTTGATTTTCTTGTAGGAAATATATATAAGGGTTTTTATCAAGTGAGATTAACTACCTTTTATTTCCCAATTTATACCATATACAAAATATAAGACCTAAAAGAGTTTAATATAGTTATTATTGTAGGAAAAGAAAAATTTCAACTTGTTAGAGCTGATGAATTGAATATTTTTCTTACTGTTTGTTATACCTCCAAAAAAGAAGAAGCAGGCTATCTTTTTAAAAAGATACATAGTAATAGTAGAAGGAATAGTTGAAAAATAAAATAGTAACATATTAACAGCTGAAAAATAAAAGAATCTCATTTTCCATTGGTAAAATTTTTTTTTTTCCCTTCTCTACTGAGTTGACTCATTGGTTGGTTAAATGAAGTATACATTCACAATGAATTTTGCAAAGCCTTTTTATTGTATCAAATAGAATTGTCTTTTATGTTAGGTTATAGTGTTTGTAATGTTGCTTATGGTTTCATTTACAGTGATTATGAATTTAAGAGGCAGTATTTTCTAGTACTTCATACTGGTAATTTGATCACTTGGCAATATTAACTTATACTTAACCACTGTTCTTAAGTAGGACATGTAAAGCTAGGTAATATTAAAAAAAGGAGTGCTGATCTTAGAAAACTAGGCTTTTGCTTTCTACTATGCCACTAATTAGGTAGATGTCTTCAAATATATCATTTAACTTTGACAACATTCTGAGTCTACTTAGATCTTAAGGACGTTTCTTAGAATACATGACCAATATTTTCCTAAAGGAAAATGTTTTTACTATAAAGCAGAGATTTTGAACACAATACTTGTGTTCTTCTTATAATGCCATAAAGATTAAAAATGTTGTTGTCTCATATCTCATTAAACTGTGAATCATATCTGTTCAAATTCTCATTATCCATTTATCTGTTTCTGGACAATATATGCACTACATTAACTAGAATATTGCTATATGATTACATTAAGTTAGAATCATTCACAACAGTTTAGTGGAAGATACCATGCCTATTGTAGAACTATTGAGGTGAATGATTTGTTTCCCTTGCTAGATTTTAAGCTCCATAATGACAGAGACCACCTTGTGACACATGAGAGATATACATACAAAGGCTAGCAGCATGCTTGCCATGTAGGTATATATTATACTTTCAGTGAAAAGTTTAGAAAATGAATTAATAAATTAAATCACTCATCTGTACGCCTGTTTATACATCATAGCATTATGGTCCTAGTGGAAGTGGAAGAACTACTTGAAATTTTTATGGCAACCATTTTTTTATATTTAATCAGTTGATTGAAGTTTGAGTGAAAATGAAATTAATCTGTCTGGTTAACTATAACATTCAAGAAATTAAGTATCTGTTCATATTAGTAAATGACATCACTTCAATGGCTTGCAGTTGCTTGAAGTCTGTATGTACTCTTTAGTATGGTTCATTTTAATTAGGTAACTAGGGATAATAGTTAGCATGTATTGGAGTGATGAAACAGAAAAATTAAGCTTTGTACTTGAAAAAATTCTCATGTTTGGTGATTAAATTCTAGACATCCTATGGGTCAACTTCAACAGACTTTTTAAGAAGCAAAACATTCCAATGTAAAAATTTTTTCATATTTTAAAAGATAATTATCTTTAATCCTAGGAAATTTTAGAAGTGTAATGAAGCTCTAAACTTTTAAATAAATATTGCCACAGCCACATTTGAACTTTACACATTTGAGTGTTGTACAGTTTTGCATTGAGAACTATGTTTCTTTTAAATATCAGTTTAAATGTATATCTCTACTAATAATTTCCAATAGCTGAAATGTCAACTTTAAGAGATTTACTTCTGTTCAGTTACTATGAAAAATGTAAGACTAAAAAATGTAATATTACTTTGGAGATTAATAGATGAGGTAAAACTATAAATACATATAAGAAATATTTTATCAAAAAAGTTGAATTTGCTCATACTTTCTTATGTTAAATTGTAAGAAACAAATATAGTTTTTGTATGAATGGAAGCATGTTTTTTTCATAAGCTAATTTTTCCGATGTGTGTGAATTGAATTGTGGAACAATATTTAGATTTTCATAAAGTTTTCTATCTTACTGATCTAGATTGCAGAACTTGGTTTGTTATGTGGATAAAAATGAGGCTATTGTATTAGGGAGATAACTTTGCGATGGAAATAGAGTACTGATTTGTCTGTTAAGGCTTGATGGATTTAAGATTAAAAGTTGATATTTGACACATTTCAAAACTTTGACTACCTCAGAGCATCATAACTATAGAAGTCCACAAAGATATTAAATGTTACTTGGTAAAATATGAATTCAGAAATTTACTTTTTATTACATCTCAATTTACTATGCTTAGTATAGTCTTAGAAAAGACTTGGTAAATCAGAGTGAGTGATTTATTTCCTAATTGATTTAGTAGTAAACAGCGACCTTTCTTAGTAAATTAGGAATGGATTAATGGCATTGTCAAATATTTCTTAAAATGTCCATTGAGTTGGATGAAGTAACATACTTGTAATCCAGTTACTCAGGAGGCTGAGAGCAGAGGATCACAAATTCGATATCATACTGGCCAACTTAGCAAGATTCTATCTCAAAAATAAAATTAAGAAAAGGGTTGGGGATAGGGACTGAGGTTGTGGCTCAGCAGTAGAACTCTTGCCTAGAACATGCAAGAGCCTGGGTTCCATCCTCAGTACCACATAAAAATAAATAAATAAAATAAAGGTATTGTGTTCAACTACAACTAAAAAATAAACATAAAAAAAAGAAGAAAGAAATGTATTGGGGACATAGCTCAGTGAAGGTACTAGTTTCAATTTGCAATACTTAGAAAAAAGAAGAAAAAAAGTTCATGAGGATGTGCATATTGTGAAAGCCTGCAATAATATTGTATAAAATTTTGATCACTATTGAGGTGTGTAAATTTTGGCTTTGATACATAACCTAGCCATAGCAGATTATAGCAGAACATAAATTTAAGTCATTTTAATATAAAAATAACATTACTAACATTGAACCTAGGAAATATTTGAGGTGTGTGTGCTTATGTGTGTATGTGTGATAACACATATACACTCACATACACTAAGTTGAATTTTATAACAGAAGTATGTGTGAGGAAATCATCAGTGGAACCTGCCTTTCAGTTAGGTTTTTAAAATCTGAAAATATTTATAATTACCCTTAGATTTTTATTAGAGTCTATACATATCCTCTCTTAAATTGAATTTTGTTGATTTACTTTCCTCACCATATTAGAAAATCTGATTTTTTTTTTTTTTTTTGGTGTTCAGGATAAAACCCAAGACCTTGTTTTTCCTTGGTTAAAATTTTCCAAATTTTAATTTTAGTATTTGTTATCCTGAGAAAGATTTTTTTATACCTTATTCATAAACCACAGGTGCCCTTTTAAAGATAAACCTAACCACATTTGGAACAATAATGTCTTTTTAATAATTGTTTAACAATTCAAAGTAAAAGCTAATTAATTCGAATACTAAATAATCTTTTTCATTAAGAAACCAAATTTTAATATCAAACGTTTTATAAATTATGTTTAATATATATTTAAAGAAGGCAATTTTTAAATTTTAATTTCAAATTTAAATACCACCACCTGCAGAATATTAATACCAACTTTTATAAAGAAACATTTGCTATGTTTAGGCTACTGAAAACATAAAAATGAATATTATGTGTTCCTCCTCAGAGACCTTTATAATCTAGAAAAATGAATAGATTATTTTTGGACATTAATAGTTTCTATTTAGTACTATGCCCCCAGAAATTAGCACAGTGTCTGACATCTGACACATTGTCGGTGCTCAGGGTTTATTGACTTAGTGAATGAATGGGAAAAAAATGGATGAACAAACATCTCTTAAATAGAATATAATTTGAAGTTAAGCAGTATTATTCAGTAGTCATTTAAGGTAGTTTTAAAAATTTCCTAATTTTATTTGTTGGTGATGGTATATGTGATTCATTTATTTGATTGATTTAAAGCAGGGAAATAACCTATAAACCTGCAGTTTGTACTTTATCCTCTAGATGGAGATCTGTATACCTTTGGCAGAAAAAAATAGTTTTACATGGCATGCTTATTTAACATATTATGTATGATTTTTTAAATTGTGCATCTATTTTTTTCACATAGTTAATACTTTACTGTTTCCTACATAAAGTTCAGAAATAAACTCATTCCATTATCAGAAAGTCAGATACAAAACTATTTAATTCTTATTTTTAGAATCATAAAATGCAGGGGAATCATAGAATAAAATAATAGAGAAGAAAAGAGAAAAGGTTAAATAATTTGTGAATAATAGCGTAGTTCTAGTTTTACAAAATTTTCATTGAAATATTTATTGTCTTTCCTGATTGATTCCATTTCCCTGTTACGTGTGAATGTGGCAGTTGTTCATATGTGCATCAAAACTGTCAGGGTGAACTGGATAGTCAGAATTTTGGGATCTAATCATGGATATTGTGTGAACTCTCTTGAGAACTCTTTTTAACATTAGTTGTTATACCCTGGAAGTGAGATAATTAAGGGATGGTAGTGGATTTCTGATGAATCAGAATGTCTTTATCAAAAAAAAAAAAAAAGAAATTCTTTATATAAAGAAACAAAACAGTAGCAATCTCCTTATGGGTACACCTTTATATATTTTAATAGTAAGATGGACAAGTTAGGCCCTCCACTTCGAACTGGAAGACATGTGCAAAGGTTGTATGACAGTGATACAAAATCAGACAGTGCCATCAAAAGACATGACTTATTACCCATTTACAAGTAAGTATTTGTAACTCAGTTTGGTTAATATTTTCCAGATTTTTAAAAAGCTTTATATAGTAGATTACTGTAACTCTTACCTTCTTAAAAAGAAATCTTAATCATTTTAAGCCAAAATGTGCTAAATAATCTTCTAGGAATTAAACACTTCATTGTTGTTCAATATTTCTATTCTAACTAACACTGTTTTTAAGGCATGTATTTTACTCCATTAAATATTTATTTTTAAAGGGTTTAATAGAAGTCACCATTTTTATAGAGTTTATTATCAGTAAATAATATTTTTGAAAAGAAAAATAAAGGAGAAAATTATGTCATGTAATATTACTAAACTATCTGTTAAGCAGACGCAGAATGATGTTAGCGGGGGGTAGGGCGAAGATCTTAGAAAATAATCAAAGGATTCTTACTCGTTTTGTTATTAGATGGCTGTAAATTACATATAAAACAGGGAAATGATATTACACTGCCAGATTCACTCTTTTGTGTTCTGACATAACTGGAGAGAGAGTGTGGCAAAAACAGTTATTTTTGAAACTCTACAGCAAGAGTCTACAGGGTTTACTAATTAAGACTTTTAGACTTCAGTACCAAATCTCATTGGAAATGATGAAGTTAGGGCCCAGTACATTAATTTACTTATTAACATTACAAAATATATTACTAAATAGTTTATTTTAAACCAATATGTATTACACATTCTGCTTATTATATATGTATGATATATAATAATAAATTTAACTAGATATACAGTTGAATAAAGATGGGAGGAATCTTTATCATACTAGTAGCAGTCATGGGTTATTTTTAAGTAGTTAGTGATAGATCCTAGAAGGAAGACTTTGTCCTAAGCCATTTGTCTTTTTGCTACTGTTACTATCTGTACCCTCTGAATCATCTAAAAAACAAAAACAAAAACCTGCCTATCAGTAAGATGGATTAAAGTATAATTCTACAATGGAACTTACTTTTATTATGTTTGAGCAAGCAAATTCTAGATAATAGATTTTGGGTAATAGTCTTCAGATTGTGGTCTAGAAGAAAAACATTAATATTCAGAACCCACCTCTTAGAGTACATTATTAAAAACAAATGTTAGGTTATTTAATATCACAGCTATTAATGTTGATAATCTTGTATTTCCCTCTAATTGAAAACATTTTAAATGTATGTATATTTAAATGTATGTACTTTCATGGGTGTATTTGTGTTAATGGTATATCTTGGCACGCACATATTATAAGAGGTGATAGGATTTCTAACAAGATGTTCTAGAGCTTTAAAAAGGGGAGGAAGTATTCTTCCCAGTCAAATGCCATTCTTTGGCAATGATTTAAGAGATTAAGTTCCTTAAAAGGCACTACAGTCATTCTACAACATCCCTAGATAGACTATAGAAATAAGAGTAGAATGAACCTCATGGATGAACTTGGAAAGACTTTTTGAGGAAGTTTAGAGCATCCCATTCACACACCAAGGTGATTCTTTACTTACTCTGAAAAAGTAACTACCCAAAGCAACCACATTGTAGAAGGTAGAATTACATATAATGTATGGGTGTTTGAAAAAAAAAAAGTCAGTTATTACCTATGTGAATTTTAGAAGTAATTAATTTAAAATTTTAGGAGATTCTCTCAACTTTATTATGCAAGTAGAATAGGGACAATTTCAGTCAAAGCTTAAGAATTTCTAATCTAGAGGAATTTTGAAAAATATTCTGCTTGTTCTTATAATGTAACATTGGTTATGTGTGAAATGAAAAAAATTGACTATCTTTAAAGAAGGTAAAGGAACTAATGCTTTATTGAATATTGAATCCTGGCTTTACAGCATATTAACTGTTTACCTTGGGTAAGTTACTCAAGGGTTTTTTGTCTTATTTAACTCATCTATAAAATTAATCCTTATATGTTTCATAGGATTATTAGGATTAAATAAGCATATATATGCAAAAACAACCAAAAATGTGTTTGGTATGTAGTAAGCATTACTATATAAGTATTAGCTTGTATCAGTGACAATAGTATTAACATTAGTATTAGAATGGTAGTAATAGTATTATCATCATCACAAATGCTAAATGTTTATATATATTTAGGTCTTATAACTTTCCTATAAATGATCATTTTATCAGTGAGTGAACTCAAAGAGGTTGATCATATCTCAAAGCTGGTCAGTAGCAGGATTTGAATCTAGTTTTATCTGATTGAAAGCCTTGTAATGTTATATCATCATTCAACTTTATAATCTTTCTTTGATTTCTGAGGTTTCAAAATGGGAATTCAGTGATGATCCATCCAAGTCTCCCTGGTAGTAGGTAGTCCAAGCTGTGTAGTTCTTATGGTTAAATTTCTAAAGGGAAAATTATATTAACCTATTTATTTTAGTTGTTCCTTTGAAGACCTTTTATAAGTTGAGTATTATCCTGTAAAGTGATTATCTAATAGTTCTTATACTTTTAAGTCATATCTCATGCTTAGGATAATAATAAATTACTTGTTTAATGCATTATTTAACAGTATGCCTAGTTATTTAACAGAAGTACATATATGTTTTGAGGCATGTATAACTTTATACTTTCAGAAACCTTTCAAATTTTAAATTTCATGTAAAGCGTGTAAATATTTTAATTACTTTTATTATCTGATCAGTGTTACTGAATGAAAATGCCTTGGTTTATCCTTAATATTAACTATAGCTTGTTTTCAGATTTAAAATAATTACATGAACTTTTATCTTTTGAGCTTTTCTGTAGCATCTAATTATCTTTCTAATCATGTAGATAGATAATTTTAAAAATAAATGTCTATATTCAGTACTTTTTCATCATATCATTTCTGTCTCTTCTAGAGCTAACATCAAATCTCGAAATACCACACCACCTAGTTTGGCAAGAAATTCTGCCTCAGGTATACTTACAAACAAAAGAAAAACATATACTGATAGCTCCATAGCCAGGTATGTTTAGCTTTCCCATCCTAAAACCAAAATAAAAATTGAGTATTTGTAATTTTCAAAGTACCATGTAAAAAATAGATAACTGGATATTTATAGATAATCTGATTTTTTATTTGTTATAAGATTTACTATAGTTTTCAAGTTATACACAAAATAAAAGGTTGGGAATAACATCATTTTTTGTAGACTTTGTAGATTCAATTATTGTTTTAATGCTGAGATAATTTTTTCAGTTCTATTGGATTTATTTGGGTTTTTGTATTTCAATTTTAACTACAACATGGGTTTTGTTTTGTTTTGTTTGTTTGTTTTTACCTCATGAAGTAGAATAATAGACCTGTGGACCACTGCTATTATCATTTTCAACACATTTTAATATTTAAAACTGACCTCTTAGGTGATTATCCATGTACTGCTCTTTCTAATTTCTCATAATATGTACTTAACTTTAGCATTCACTGTTTTTTAACCATATAATTAACTCATCTCAATTGTATATAGGTAGGTAGGTAGGTAGGTAGATAGATATTCTAACTTCTCCTGGAAAGCTTTAAGGCAAAGCACATAAATCCATGGTGAGATCCAATATTAAAAAAAAAAAAAAAAAAAAAAATCTTCTAAAACTGAACATGTCCAGCACTCTCCCAGAGATTTTGATATCTTTGGTTTGGAGAGTGGGCATCCTCATTTGCCATACTAAAAGCTTTAAAAGTAAATCTTATGCATAATTAAGAGTGAAAAATCATAGAGGAATTGATGAACTGCTGTCTTTCCAGCTAGATTCTTTAGTAAGTACTTATTGTCTCTCTAAAGTTTTTGATGTATACTAAATATCAAAGAAATGAGCATGTTTCTTGGGAATCAGTTTAAAAGCCAAGCAAGGACTTTAATTTTGGTTGAAAAAATTTAGAAATTTCAAAGACAACTTAAAAATCTAAATAAATATGTATTTTTCATAAAATAGAAAGTTTAATATTATAAATCTGTCATATAAAGCTGTCTGTACTCCCCCCAACTACAGTGCAATTTGCAAACAAAAGTCATGAGTCTTGACAAATTGTTTTCATGATATATATGAAGAACAAAATCCTAAAATTGGCCAAGACAAGTTAAAAATAATAAGGCATGAGTGTGAGTGATGTAGTAACTAAGATAGTTAGTTTGATATCAATTCAATGAAAGACAAATAGAACAAAAAATCTGGGTGGAGTGGTTAGAAAAAAAAAAACATTTCCACAAATGACTAGAAATCATCCATATTTTAGAGGCAGCAATGCAGATTTCAGAAGTGGGCATACTGGGAATAATAGACATGTATATGTGGAAAAAATTTTTACACCTAAATCATCTCAGGTATTTAAAAAAAATTAGTTGCAGAGCTGGGTTTGTACAGCACTTGCCTAATATGTGCAAGGTCCTAGATTCAATCCTTAACAACACACGTGTGCGCACACACACACACAAATAATTTATAAATTCATTAAAGTCCTAAATACGGAAAGCTATTTGGATTTTAGAATAAGACTCAAGGAAGTATCATTATCATCTGAGTTAGGAAAGGATTTCATGAATAATTTAGCAAATACTAATTGTTCAGCAAGAGATTGATACGTTTGATCATATTAAAATGGAAAAAAAAAGTGCTGTAAGACTCCCTGGATAAAGTGAAATAGCATGATGGATTGGGAGAGGATACTTAGCATATACATAAGTAAACAAATTGTAACCCAGGACATATTAGGAATTTCTACAAATAAAATAATGAACCCATATAAATAATACACCTGGTTTTGATGAAGATAGGACAGGGAACCTAGGAAATTCACAGTGAAAAAAAAAATACAAATGCCAAAGAAATATATAAAAAGATGTTCAATTTCAAAAGAGGTCAGAAAAATGTGTATTAAATCAATAGTAGGCTACCATTTCACTCTTGTCAGGTTAGCAAAAATGAAAATCTCAGAGTACAAACTGTTAATAAAACCTCATAAAGTGAGAAACCTCATGCTACAAGTGGGAATTTACATTTTCTGATCAGTATGTAGAGAAATTTGGCAGTATCTACTTAAGGTGAAGTTTTGATATTGTGTTAAATATATATTACTGTATGAACATTTCCTCAAATGTATGTATCATAGTATTTAAAAGATCTTTTATATAAATTTTGAAGTATTTCTTATGTATTTCACTGACAATAATATTGCTTTATTTTGCCTTGGTACTTTCCTTTGTTTGTTGTTTCATCTTTGAATTCATTAGTATTTTCTTTGCAGTTTAAAGGAATTATGCTGATGCTATTAATTTACTCTCTTAAGAGAATGTGCTTTTAGTATAGAAGATTGTAATTCTATAACCCTTTTCCAGTGGGGCTATAATCAAGAAAGAGTAAGAATTATTCAACCACATAGAATGCTCACATTGTGTTCATTTTTCTCTCTTTGATTTTTAGATCCATAGTGGCTTTTCTTGAAAATACAGTAATTTTTTTTTTTTTTTAATCAACCTAACCTGTTTGTATGAAAGAAAGTACCCAAATTGGGGCGAGTATGCTACAGTTCTTCAGTAATTACTTTTGTATATAAAAAAATTATTTTTCTATAGTGTCATTCTTATAATCAGTGATTTAAGAATCCCCTTACTTAGAAAAACACCTGCCAGGAAGGAAAGTAAAGATGTCCTTATAGAAAACAAACAAATGTTTTTCCAATTAATTAACATTTGATCAATAGAATCTGAATTTTTTCTTCTCTTTTTTTCGGTGATGAAACCCTTTAAATTCAGGCACTTTGCTCTAAATTTTTGTTGGGGTATAGTTCTGCTAAATTATTCAAGAAATCCTTTCCTAACTTAGATGATAATGAGACTTCCTTGTGTCTTGTTCTAAAATTTTAATAACTTTCCTTTCCATATTTAGGCCTTTAGTGAATTTATGACTGTTTTTTTGTTGCTGTTGTTGTTTTTTTTTTTTTTTTTTTGTGTGTGTGTATGCGTTATATGGTTTATAGATTGAACCTGGGACCTATTTTGCCTTCATTACTATGTCTTGTTAATAAAGCCTACCCTGCTAGTGCATGTATAGAAATTTGTTAAGGATTTATTGCATCATAATAATCTAATGTAATTGAATAATAGAATCAAAATAAATAATAAAATATAAGTGACCAAATAGAGAGACCTAGAATCTAACATCATCCTCAGGTCTGGGTTGCTGTTTTTCTCCTTATAAAAATGGTTTTGCAGAAAGGACATTGTAAATCTTCCTTTTCCCATTTTGTGGTCAGTGGCTACATATTGAACAGCTGGAAAGTATGGCTCCATTTGGTCATGATCAGTTCTCCTAACAGTGACAATTGTAATGTTAAAGCAAACATATGGAATTAAAATATATACAAGCAGAGATCCTTTTTTCACTTTATCTATAAGAATATTAAAAACGAAATTAAGCAAACTTTTAGTTAGATTTATTGTGTCCTATTTTTCAAGGGTTCTAAGTTATAACTATTGAATGATGTAAACCTTTATTTTTATTTTATTTTTATTTATTTTTTTCTTTCTCTACTGCTTCAGGCCAGATATAGACTATGCATCTTCATTTAATGGTGGAAACATTAAAGGCATTGAAGGAAATTCATCTGGACACTTACCAAAATTCTGTCATGAGTGTGGGACAAAATATCCTGTAGAATGGGCAAAGTTCTGCTGTGAATGTGGCATTCGAAGAATGATTCTATGAACAGAATCCCAAAAGAAAGAGAGCCAGGTTGACAGTTTTATGATCATTGCTGCTTGAACAGCTAGAGTATATCCTCTAGTTATTTTGTGCAAAAACTATTCAAAATACCTTTTCCAGTAAGTTTTGGAGCATAATTCTTTTGCTGTATAATGTGTGTTTGTATATATATTTGTATATATACTGTATATAATAAATACCTGATACCCCAAGCTGTGCCATTCAAAGAAATACTCATTAACCTTTCAGAAAATTACTTCAGTGGAATCATTAACTTAGGTGTTGTTAATGCACATTCAATGTACCTGCACAAATTCTCCTTCTCTTGTGGTTGACCCCTCAAACTTTAGAATAATCACAACTTCAAGCAAAAAATCAGAATAAACATTATTGGTGCTATCTGCAGATAGTATCATAGTAGGATGGACACTTGGAATTTTGTAATTGAAGAAACTTTTCATTATTATTAGTTGATGTGGGGTCATTTTGGTATTGAATTCTCCAACAACTAATATTCCTAAAAAATAAGAGAAAGAAAAAAATGTAAGATCTATTTTTACTCTTAACTTGTGACTTATTAATTATATAATTTAAATATGATTACACATTCTGTGAAAATGTAATTATGCAATTTCCTTTTCAGAAACACAAAACTAAAAATACAAATGCATTTTATTCTATTTATAACTGAATGTTATTTTTGTACTTCTGAATTAGTTCAACATATATTCTTTCTACTTCCAATAGTGTTCCAAATTTCACTTATTTTATTTTTCATAATTTGTCTGAAGAATAGTTTTAATTTACTGCTATATTTTTGCAGTATTTGAAAGTGTAACTCTTTAATGTAAGATGCCCAAAATTCTTTCTGAAATCTTACATTTTAACCACTTTATTTCTGTGTTTCTGAATTTTTAAGAAAGTAATGGATTTTAAAGTAAACCACCTCATCTAATAAATAATAATTGTGTAATTATTCATTAGTGTTGAGCATGCAGGTAAAAAGTATTTGGATTTCAGTTTCTTATAGTACACTTAGAGGTAGTTATGAGTAGGTTGAGTATCTCCAATTTTTTCTACTCATATTTTCTTCTTTACTGTTTAATGTTACCATTGGTAAAGATACCATTCATATCACAATGAAAAAAACCACTGAAAATGTATTGTTTTGATGCATAACTGACTTATTATGTAATTAAACATACACAAAATCTGTATTTTCTCTTTAACTTGACTAGCATAGAACTTTTGATCACTGTCACTCTCACTGTTATACAATATTTAGCAATAGCTTTCTTTGATGGCTTGTGCAATTACATTTAGTAATTCTATAGTAATTCCAGTTAAAACCCAAGTGAACTTTCTTTTATTGTAATGGTACAAGCAAATCTTTTATATTTTACGTATTTTCTAGCTTTTATTATTCATATCAACTATAAAGATCAATGTAGAAATATTTTAAAATTTTATTTCTCTGAAATTTATTTAGTCTTTGTTTTGTTTTAGTTGGGGCAGGGGTATGACCTTAGTGGTAACAAGAATTGCCATTTTATATACATTATAGTTTCTTTTCCTGATATTTCATTTCAGTTATTTTATTCAGCCATGTTGATTTAAAAAAATCTTGCTCAAGTAAGTTATAATGAATTTAGAAGACTAATGTACATATTAGTTTTCCATTTCAATGACTTCTGTCCTAATTGTTATAAATCATATGAAGAACTTTCAATTCTTATTTATCTAGGAATGAACACTATTTTCTTTCAAGTATATTTTTGAGACAACCTAATCTTTTTTTTCTGCTCACAGAGGAGTAAATAAATGAGTTTAAATAAATTGGCACATATTTCTCACTTAATTTTGCAGTACTAAAATTATTATAAACAGTAAGTAGGTAAAATAAACTTATGACTTAAGAAATGTGAAAATGTATTTAAGTGCATTTTATATTACTTGCATATTTTACTCTCACATTAATTTGTTGTACGATAGTTTTTAAGCAATCTTCCTATGCATCATTTATTTTTATTTATTTGCACAAGTATTTTCCAATGTGGTAGAATGATAAATGATTGTAAACTTAAATTTAAAATGTAAAAATTGCTTATATATTATTCTGAAAGTTATTAGCTTGAAAAAGTAAGATTACTGTGACTACTGTTGTCATTTGTTCATTGTTTTTTATTATAAATATCTTCATTTTGAACCAATTCAATAAAGACACAAGCATAAAAATGCTAGTTCTTATTTATTGATGTCTTATCTTTTAGCCAAACATAGATAGATCAATAGATAGATAGATAGATAGAAACACACTGATATATAAATAAAATATTTGGAATAAAAAATAATTTGTTTAAATGAAGAAGTGCCTCTTCATTGTTTTTAAATGTCATCAGTTTCTTTTAAATTACTTTTATAGAAGTAAAGGTTCTATGGCTTCAAGTATTTTAAATGTTTTGATTATAAAATTTTTAAGGGATAAAATATTTTTTTATATCCTGTAAAATTTAGAAATTGAAAAGTTAGTAGGAAATATGGATATTTCTAGCTAAGTACTAAACATCAATGGCAAAAATCTATTTGTGGTGAATGAGGATTCAGGCCATATTTTATAGTTATTTCTTGTGAAAATGTGATTAGAATTGATTGATTTACTTGGTACTCAGTTTTTCTTTGACTAGAAGTGGACACTTTCACTAGGAGTAGAAGCTTAGAGAGTGAAAATATAGTATGAGAAATGCATAGATGCAATCAGAAGACCTTTTGGAAATTTATTTGCAGTGAATATAAATGCAAATATTTTATATGATATTTTATATGGTGGGTAAAATTTTAGTACTAAGGTGGGTTTTTTCTAATTGACTATATTGTTGCATATAGCAGTGAAGAATTATTAAAACAAAGTTTGTGATAACCACATTCATTTTTATTTTTATTTAGAACAATTTAAGTAGTATTCAGAGTGCCTAGTAAAATATACAATTTTGCTTAGCTTATATATGAATTGCTGTTTTTGCCACTAGAGGGTGCTTTAGGATAATTTAATATCACTAGCTTCCAATTACTTTAAAGACCTTTCAGCAATATAGTTATGTGTTGTTGTTTTTTTTTTTTTTTTTTTTGACAACATAAAATGACAGAGATTCATAAGAGCAGTTTTTTTAGCAATTTATATATTGATATCCTAGAAACCTAGTTCAGCTCATTTTGGGCATAGATGATAGTAACTAATAGAAATGTTTAATGTTTATACTTCCAAATATTTGATTAGCCCAATTATGCATCTCAAAGATATCACTCAGGAAAATTACCAAATATTTGAAATATTTCTTTGATGTTTCATGATAGTTGTCTACCAAATTAGTAGGGGATATATATAGAGAGAGAGACCTCTTCCTGTCCCACTTCCAGTAATCTAGGCTAACTTAACATTGTCTAACATGAGAGTAGCATGTATTTGATCAGTATATAAGAGGTTATACTAACTAATTTAAGGTACACAAAGCTAGAGCTTTATACTTACAACCTTTAGAAAAGGCTTTGTGTTCATCCTTCTAAGTCCTAGAGATCAAGAGAATAAATAAGATATGATTAAGTCCCTGCCTTTAAATTATTGGAGAGGCCAATGTGTAAACCCATAAATTACAATTTAGGATAAAAAGAAAAAAAATTTTTTACATGGAACTTTATCATGAAGGTACCAACAAAGTATTACAGAAGAAGGGGCTTCTTACCACCACAAGTTAATACAGCTGGCTATTTCCTACTTCCTTCTTTTCTTTGAATGCTTAGGAGGAAACCTGATAGAACATGAGGCAAAATTGCATTACCTTTGGGTAGAGAAAAGGCAAGTGACTGTGAAAACGATGTGTGTGGTAGGGACACTTCGATCTGAAAAATATGAACTTCTTCATCCTGAGAATGCAGGAAAAGCCGCATTGAGTAAAAGTTACTGATAATTCTCTCTGATCAATCTCTCTTCTCATGTAACTTAGTCCTCTCATTTCCTTCTTTCTCCTTGTACAAACAATTATTTCTATGCCTATTTTGAATTCACAGCAGTATGGCTGGGGTAAGAGTACCCAGCAGTGCATAGTACTGTTGAGTATATTCAACAATGGAATGCTGATTTTTCAGTCATCAAATGAGCAGTCTTAAATTATAAAACTAAAAACTGCTATGGGGTATTATCCACTGATAGCATAACTATAAATTGATAATACTTTTTTTAAAGTTGACTAAATTTAAAAGACTTTATGTCTTATAAACTAGTAATTTTACTTCTAATTTTTTTAGGGAAATAATCTGAAGAATAAAAAAATTTATGCAAAATGTGGTTAGTAGTTAAAGAAAATTTAGTAAATTAGTCATCTTAAAGCACTTCCAAATAATTTTAAGACTATAACAAGGTAATACTTAATTTTTTTAAATAGTGCATATGTACAAATTACAAAAAAATTACCATAGATTAAAGACTTGAATCTATTCAATATATTGTGCTTGTTTCTATGCAAAGAATATTTGATAAGTTATATTTTATTTATACTTTTCAATTTTCTAAATGTAGTGAGTATTATGTTTGTGACTAGCATCTTGTGACAATCGTTTGATGAATTTTCTATATTGAATCTTACTGCAAGGGTTTGGTTTTGCATCCGTTTTTGTAATGGTAGAGTAGCTGTGTGACTTGGAGACAACTGAACAAATATAGTATATCCACATATATATATATATAGATGTGGATATATTATATATCTATATATAGATATGGATATGGACATCCTCATATATATCCTTATATATCTATATATTTATGTATATCCTTTTATATATACATATACATACATATAATCTCCTCATTCGTGGGATTTATTAATTGACTTACATTATGAGAGGCTGAATAGTCCCACAATGGCCATCTGCAGGATGGAGAGGTAGAGAAAACAATAGCTGCTCAGTTCAAGAAGCTGGAAGCATCAGAACAAGAAAGTCAAATAAAGGAACCCCAGTTCCTCTCCAGGAAATCCTGTGGAGAGTAGTTTTTGCAAGTCTTCATTCAAAGTCTAGACAATCAGGAGTCTGATATCCTAAGGCAATGGCAGCAGCAAAAAATCACATCCACCAAAAAAGAGTAAAGCATATGTGTATATGCAAGTTTCTCACTTCTATGTTTTGTTCCATCTGAGGCCCCAGACAATTGAATGGTGTTGCTCACCCTCAAGATAGGTCTTCCCCACTGAGTCTACTGACTCACGTGCCAGAAGTCTGGAAACACCCTTATAGACACACCCAGAAATATGCTCTACCAAATTTCCTGGTGTCTCAATCCAGTCAAGTTTTCAACCAGGTTTAACCATCACACTTGAATTCTAAAACCAATAATATAAAGCACATGCTGAGCAATCTCCATTTCCTA